TCCTGTAGGGTCTTTTTGAATCGGAATTGACTCAATGACAATGGAGGGTTTTTGGAGGCTTTATATATGCTGTTATCTAAAGTGGACTTTGATTTTCATAGGTAGCCCAGAACTAACTAGATTCTGCTTGCTTTCTGGTGGTACAGCGACATCCATATATATTCTAAAATCATTCTGCATAGCACCAAATTATTGTGATGATACATATAAAGAATCTATTCCTCAAATATTAATTGCTAATTTGCTTTCATTGAGTTTTCTCCCTATTCTTAAAACTCTGCCAAATTTAATTGCCATTCTTTTGAGAAACCTGATAGCTTCTTCATTGCTAAATAACTTCTTTTCCCCTCCATGCTGAATTAATTTATTTCAATGGCAGTTTCCTTTGTGAGGATGATTTTAAACAATGTAGGCACTCCTTTTTCTCTCCATGATAAAGAAGAATTGGTCTCAAGTTTTAAGATAATTTGAGGAGTATTATCAAGAAAACATACCCAATGCAAAAAACTACTTATTAGTCTACTATTATTGATATCCTTTGTTAGTTGTTGTTGTCATTTACTTATGATTACATGCCTCACCTCTTTCCAGAGAGGTTATGAGGTAATTTTAAAAACATACATGGTCATACACAATATAACTTCAGAAACAGTTTAGAGTGACAGGAAAATAAAGGTGAAGAAAAAGTGTATGAAAGCAGGGAAGAATGAGCCAAAAAGCAAAAAAAAAAAAAACTATGCTCTGTGTTTCTGAGAAGGTAAGGCAAAATGACAAACACAGTCAGTTGCAAGTTATATTAAAAAAAAAAGAAAAAAAAACCTCACTGCTGTCTAGAGGATCATGACTCGTACATAGTGACCTCTCCTTGGGTTTCCAAGACAGTGTCTCTATAGAAGCAGATTGTCCAGTCTTCCTTCCCAGGAGTGGCTGGTGGGTTTGAACTGCCAGCTTTCTGGTTAGCAGTCAAATGCCTTAGGCACTACACCACCAGAGAGTAAAAAATAAATTTCTTTGAAGTTACAATCCTTTCTGACACTGAGTCCTGAGAGAAATTTCTCCTGCTTGTCCTTATAAAGAGCATTAAACAAACAAACAAAAAAAACCTCACTGCCATCGAGTTGATTCCATTGAGTGGTAGTGACCCCTTTTGGGTTTCTGAGGTGGTAAATCTTTACGGAAGTAGATTGCTCAGTCTTCCTTCCATGAAGTGGCTGGTATGTTTGAACCACCAACCTTCCGGTTAGGAGTCAAGTGCCTTAGGCACCATGCCACCAGAGCTCCTATAAAGAGCATTATGTGGTGTTATTACAAATGCCCACCACACTCCTCCCACTGTAAAAACAGTCAAGAGCTCCAGTGAGACTTGTAGGATAACATTTCTTGATGTATAGTGATGACATAGAGGTCCCTGGGTAGTGCAAACACTTTGTGCTCATCTACTAACCTTCAGGTCGGAGGTTTGAACTCATCCAGTGACACCACAGAAGAAATGCATGGTGATCTGCTTCCATAAATGTTACACCCAAGAAACGCTATGGAGTAGTTCTACTGTGTTGTTTGCAGGGTTGCATGAGTAGAAATTAACTTGATGGCAATGAGTTTGTTTGTTTTGTTTTTATTGATGGCACAGACACATTTTTGGTGCAATTATGTAAAAGCAATTATATTAAGACTAAAGCAAGGAAGCAACGTTTTCCTGGTAGCTATCAGCCTTTCTCATTTCCTAGACACCTCCTGCATTCCTTATTTTCATATCTATCTTCAAAGCCACAAGCAGAATTTCCCTTGTATTTAGTTTCTTTCATGATTAAATCTCCTCCCTGACCTCAATACCCTAATTTAAAGACTGGGTCAGGCACACCTAGAGAATATCCCTGTCTTAAGGTAAAATGTACCATATAACATAACTTTATCATAGGTATGCTATTCCAACATATTCATGCTTTCAAGAATTACACAAGGTCTACCAGGAGATGGGTCTTTTAAGGGACTTCTTAGAATTCTGCCTACCACACATGTCAAAGACTTTAAGGATTAATCAATCAAAGGCTAAACCAGTTTTAATTTATAAGGAACAAACTGACATATATTTTAGAATGTTATAATTTTATAATATAATGTTGCTTTCCTACAGATGAGATAAATTTAAGGCTAAAATAGACAGTACCATATCCGTGGCACTAAAGATAAAAAAAAAAAAAAAATTAAGAATCTGATCTCACCATTCACCATGTGCTTCAGTTGGCATGAATTTTTCATCAACTGTAACTTATAAGGGTGTGTTCCCAGTGTTCAGTAAGAAAGTGTCACATAGGATTAAAAACATCTGGAACAACTGACCTTAACTTACAAAGATGATATTAGTAAATTCATCAGGAGTAACCAGATTCTGGAATTCCAAGACCAGATTCAAAATGTTTATGTCATAAGCAACTAAGTTCTAGAATCCATTCACCACACCAGCTTTATTTTAGGTCTAACTATACAGAGTTTTATGTGTTTTTGTTTGTTTGTTTGTTTGTCCATTTGTAAACCATTTTATGTGAAGAATATATCAAGATTTGAGATAAAATTCTTCTGAATTTTATTTCCCATGTCATCTTATTTATACTCTATTGTTTTTATTTTTGGATTTCTTTTTTGGTAGGTGGTGGGTTAGTTGGTTTGGTTTTTGCTACCATACCTCCCTTGCAAATATCATCTAATTATGTTCAGTTTAGATTTTCAAATGCATGATTTTATCATTATAGTACATCTACATGTAGTAGCCTAGGAAACCCTGTGGAGCAGTTCTATTTTGTCCTATAGGGCTTGTTATGAGTTGGAATCAACTCACAGAGGCACACAGCATCTTAATAACGTCTGGTTGTTAGCTGTGGTGCACTTGGTTCTTGACTCATGGCAACCTCCAGCACAATAGGATTGTTGTGACCCATAGGTTTCCATTGGATGATTTTTTTCAGAAGTTGGTCTCCAGGCCTTTCTTTCTAGTCTGTCTTGGCCAGGAACCTCTACTGAAACTTTTCAGCCTCATAATACTCAGTCTCTACTGACAGTTGGGGGGAGGCTACACTTGAGTTGCATTGGCTAGAAATTCAACTTGGGTCTCCACATGGAAGGTGAGAATTCTACCACTGAACCACCCTTGCCTATATCTATCTATCTGTCTGTCTAGCTATCCATCTATTAATCTATCCCTCTGTCCATCTATCCAAAAACAGATTTTCTGATAATGGCATCACTACAAAGTATTAAGTATGGGATAAATAATAGATTTCAGTTCACAATACATTATTGTTAGTGACCGTCTGGAGCTCTCCATTGTTAAGGATTCTGAGTTGTCCAGGGTAGTCCAAAAGAATTCTATGTACATTAGACACACTTGCATGGGTTAAGAGCAGGAGGTATGACAGGATATAATACCACATATTTTTTTATGTTACAGCAAGATTGTTACTTGAGAATATACTGAATATATAAATACTGAAGAAAAACTGTACAGTATATTACACCATCTTTATATAAATATAAATTTGTTTTTTAACTCAAATTTCAAATTTTATATCCTCACGAGAATGAAGGAATGGCAAAATATGTTTCAACTGAAAGAATTTTATTTGGTAGATACATGCAGATATGCACTAAGAGTTCTCTTACATGGAAGATGAAAAGAGGAGCAGGCAGATGTGTTAATCACAGGAAAATGTTCTTATACTCTATGTTGAGGTATTAGGTTAAAGATGTAGAGGTCGCACAGAGCCAGATTGGTGTTCAAAAAAAAAAAAAAAAAAACTCACTGCCATTGAGTCAATCCCAACTCATTGCCATCAAATCAGATCCGACTCATAGCGACCCCTTCTTGGGTTTCTGAGGCGGTATCACTATGGAAGTAGATTGCCCAACCTTCCTTCTGAGGAGTGGCTGGTGGGTTTGAACTGTCAGCCTTCTGGTTAGCAGTCAAGTGCCTTTGGCACAATGCCACCAAAGCCCTTAACATAACAGAAGCCAATGATCAAACAATGAGGATTAATAGACTTAGAAAACGGAGTCACAAGCAATGTTCAGAAGAAAAACGATCTCCAGTTGAGCCTGAACAATTACTAAAAAGGGGAAAGCAGAGAGCAGAAGGCAAAAGGGAGAACCTAGGAAAGAATATTGTGAAGATCTGAGTGTTTCATAAGGTAACTTCAACCATCTTGGAGGTATTTCCTACCTTCTTGATAAAGATATATGTAAGCTCCACATAATTTCAATATAAACTTTTGCTTAAGTATTTCATATCCCTGGTTTTCAGCAATAACTATTTTAAGATTTATACCCGCAAGACTGCCCAAAATATATTATGATCCTGCAAAGGTGGTGTCATGTCCTTTTTGTTTATTTATAGTTAATTAGTTTTTGTCAATGTTGTGCATTCATTTCATTCCAGTATTTCAAGTTTTGTTGTTTTGTGATTCAGAAAAATTAGTCTTTGTCTCTGTGTCCTTTAGTTATGGCAAAAACTTAGCATCTAATTATGAACATGTCATAGCTGATTTATGTAATGGACTATTGGTAAAAAATACTTGCCACTGCCCACATTACTGCTGGAAAAATAATCAGTCATTTAAGGAAGCACATTCATCCTTGGAGTATCATGAATTTCCAAATCATTGTCTTTTCACTGTGTTTTTATTTTAATTTTACATTTTCCCCCTTTATCCTAAACTTCTTCATTGCTTATTATTTTAGCTCTTTTCTGATTCTCTTTCCTCTAACTTTTTTGTATTCTAAGTATTTGATGGAAATGTTAAGGAAATGATGTAAACTGTAAGACAGCAAAGACCGTTCCAGTATTAAACATAAACATACTGAACGTGCTCTGGAGGAAAGGTGAATATGAAATTATCAGGATGGAACATTTCCACTCATAGATAAACAAAATGTATATGAAAAATATGAACCCAAACCAGCCTTTATACAATGCTTTAAAAATTTCAAGAGTGGGAGGGATCAATTACCTCAGCTTGATCAATGGGTATGTTTTCATAGTTGTATAATTGGTCCAGGTCTTCCAAAGTGGCATAAGTTTCTGAGTCATAGTTGATGGACTCTAGGGTGGGAGCAGCCACAGCAGCATCAAAGATGATGAGTCCCAGAGCAAGTCTTGCTAAGGTTTCCATTTTTCAAACTTTCCTAATGATAAAGTCATAAAATGCATAATATTTAATTGGAAATAACTTATGAATAAAACCAAACCAAGTGCTATCGAGTTGATTCTAACTCATAGCAACCCTATGGCACAGGGTACAACTGTCCACTTGCCCACACGGTTCTAAACCAAACTCACTACTGTTGAGTAAACTCTGACTCATAGCAACACCTCCTTAGCTTTCCGAGGAAGTATCACTACAGAAGTAGGTTGTGCAATCTTCCTTCCGAGGAGTGGCTGCAAATCTTTATGAAAACACACTGCCTCGTCTGTGTCCTGTGGAGCGGCTAATGGGATTGAACCACCAACCTTTTGATTAGCAGCCAAATGCTTTAACCACTGCACCACCAAAGTGCCTAACTTATGAATAGTTTCACTAAATAGGAATTGATAAATCATTGTCAACCCTGAGGACTCATGCTGGTAGTTTTCTTTTCAAGGATGATTTACAAGCATAACACATGAAATTATATTGTTTATGAGGACCAGATGTTCACATTAATTCACAAACCTCTCAACATTTTTTATAAAGGACACATTTTATAGAGGACAATGGAGAAAATGGGATGCTGAAAAATTATGACATGCTGACTCACAACAGCCTTTATATTAGTTAAGGTTTTTACTTTTTCATAATCACTTATGTTCTGTTTGATCCTTACATCAACTGTGAGAGATAGGGATGATGATGATGATGATGATGATGGAGATGATGATGATGATTATTCTAGCTACCACAGAATTTTACAGATGAGGGAACTGACATAGAATTGGCTAAAATGATACAACTAGGACTCATAAATGCTTCTTGTGAATTCAAGCCAGAAATTTTTCCAGAAAATAATTTTTTTTCCCTGTTACTTCATTGTTGCCTCTGGGTATAATAAATACATATATTATTTAATGTACTTCATGTAATATTTTTCAAAATGTTCTTAACTAAATGGAATAGAAAAAAATCATTTTTCCCTTTAATTCTTTACTTTATCCATTTTTTGAGATTGCTATCTAAGGTTTAATCTCAGAGCTAATAAAAATACACTTTCAAATGGCACTATATGGCAAGATTTTCTTAGAGAAGATTTTCACACATAGTAGATCAGAATAATCTTTTGTTTTATATATCTTTAACAAGCACAATTCTTATTTTATGTTATGGCATCATGCTTTTGAGGTGTCCAATCAAGATATTACAATTTTATCTCCTTTAGATTGGTATGTACTGCTTTGAATATATTCAGTTTAGAAAAAATAATTCTCAAGTTTAATTTTAAACAATTGAAATATTACCTAGTGGTTCTATATCAGCATGTAAAGTATTGTAGGTTTTTTTTTTTTTTTAATCAAGCATTTATAATTTTAAAAAGTTTTGTGTTTAGAATACTCTTTGGTTTTACTTGACTAGTGCATATGGTGTTTGTGCTGAGGCACACATATAAAATGGAGTTCATAATAAATATTACTTGTAAACTTGAATGCATGGGCAGGCAAACCGACCTTCAGCTACTTGAAAGGAAGTCTTTATGAAGTAGGTTTAGGCAGAAGGATATGAAATTCCCTTGAGAATAAGAAGCAGTACAAGGAGCTCATTTTTATCCCCTCCTATACATTCTTCAAATAAACTTTTTATTCACACTGGATAAATTAAGCCTGTATTTTATTTGCCTTTGCAGAGGTTATTACAGGATTGCAGTTTTGGAACTGTTCTAGGCAGTTATCCACAAAATCCTACTTAATAAAACAGTGTAATTTGCAAATATCCCAGGAACCATTCTTCCAGATTCAAGTGGAAAGTATTGACAGTGGCCACCATGAACTGAAAAAAAAAAAAAAAAATTTTGTTGTCTGTTTCTGGCGGCTTTCATCATTCAAGAAAATATGCACTTGCTGACACTTTTCCTCATTGATACTTTACATTTGATTATAAATTAATATGTAACAAGGTTTGCTTGAATTTGACATATATCCTAAAGCTACCAGCAATAAGGTGGCTGCATGAATCTTAGAAATAGGAAGAGCATCTACTTATGTTTAGTTATAAAAATTACTTTCATTCTTTTAAGTAACTAGACTAATAGTCAATGTAGTTCCTTTGTTATAATTTTTACTTCTTTTCCATTTTTCTCTTGGATAATATTTTTAAATGTTTATATAAAACTTTAAAGTGAATCGTTTAAAAAGATATTCTAAATACATAATGCCAGATACCCGTCAAAATATTTTTAAACACCTTAACCTTTACCTTTTCCCCTTTTCTATAATACCTCAATCAATATGAATCAATTGTGCCAGTCTGCACTGGTAAAGGATGTGGTCTGTGTCTATGCACTTGATTTAAGTGCATATTGGAAACTACTGTAATTTTATTGGCATCTGTCATGGTATTAAAATCAACTCTATTGCTGTAAGTTATTAATTCCTAAGCTAATTCAGGATTTTGGATTTTCCAAGAATAATATGAAGTCAATAGCAAAATTAAACTAACTTCATTGAATCAAAGCTCACCATGAGAGATTAAAGCAAGTTGAATTATTTTTTAAAGGTTGTTACAGGTTATAGTCATAAAAAAAAAATGTCTCTTACCCAACAAGAAAGCAGTATAAAAACTTACCTTTTACCTTTGGCTCCTCCTTGGTGCAATGGCACGAAGTGACTGAGAAGGCAGAGCCAGTGGTATTTACCCCTGACCAATAGACGTGAATTCTGGGTCTGTGGGAGGTGGAATTTATCACAGTCAATTTTCTGTTTGGAAAAGCTAACCTTGAGAAATGCTTCTCAGTTCTTAAAAACCTCAAATTATTTTATAGTCACCTAAACTAAGCAGTAGGATCCAAACTACATATATAAAGCTTTTGGAATTATTTAAAGTTAGTTAGAATGGATAATGTGTCACCTTAATGTTTTTAAAATGACAAAAGTTAGTTTTAATATATTTCATCTATGACCAATTCATCAGTTAAGAAATAAAATTAATGTATGTAGTGGTACTATAGGAAAGTTATTATAGGAAATTATTTTCCCAAACCTTGCATATCTTAAATTGCTTTCTTCACTTTTCATTAATGTTCATGGAAATTTAATAAATGTTGCAAAAGCCTTACCTGTTTAATGTTGGGAAAGTGAAAAAAGATATCCAAATGATTTGGACCCCTTGGAACACTGTGATAGCAAAGAAATAATAAACCTTTTGTACAAAAATTAAAATTATATTCAGAAATAATCATAATTACAATCTGAGTGTTTTGAAAGAAAAGCTCTTGTTTCTCTCTTATATATCAGAGCCAATCAAATCAAATTATATATATAATTTCCTTCTAAAATATAAGATTTGTTTTAGGCTCTTGGTATCTGACATAGTTTGTGAAACTGCATTTTGTAATAGGTAGGGAGAAAAAAATATATTTATTAAATTTACATTCCTCATTTCTGTACTGCAGAGTTCTAGGGAAAGATACACCCTGCAATATGTATTCTGGTAGGTTTTACATACATATAGGAGTCTGGTTCTCACCTGTGCACGAGGAGTCCTTCCTCCATGACCAGAATGGGCCATGTATGTTGTGTTGTTATAGTTGCCATTTAATAGATTACTACTCATAGTGATCCTACATGACAGAATAGAACTGCCCCACACAGTTTCCTATAGGGTGGTTATGAGTTGGAATCGACTCACAGGCATACAAACACAGTCTTTAAGGGAAGAGATGACCAGGTCTTCTCTGCCATGGAGCAGCTGGTGAGTTTGAACCTCCTGCACTTCGATTAGTAGCAGGGCACTTAACCTTTGGAAAGCGTAGGGCTAGCTAGTGCTGCACAAACTGCGGAGGAAAAGAAAGTCTGTCTTCTGGATTCTTTCACTCTCCTTACTATCACTCTCTCAAACCCACCAGCCACTCCTCAGAAGGAAGGTTGGACAATCCTACTTCTGTAGTGATACCCAAGGAGGGGTCACTATGAGTCGGGGCCGACTAGACCACACATAACAACAACAACAACAACATCTTCCCTCCCCAACAAACCTCTTTAAGCCATTTGTTCACTGCATTCTCATTCATCACCTCCACTGTCCAAAACTGCTTCTAAGTGATTTTCTTTGACTGTGTATTATTTTTCTTGGGACAAATTTTATTGGGATAAGAAACTACAATCCTAGGTAGGATATGCAGTTTCTCAAGACCTCTCAAAAAGTAGAGAGGCCATCTGTTGGGGAGGGGCTTCTTTTCCTCATCCTTCTAGTCCCAGAGCATCACAGAGAGGCTTTCAGAAGCTTCTTGGAAAGAGGCTTGGATCTGAGTTCCCACGCTGGCTCTCTTTAGCAACATTGCCCCACATTGTGGGTTAGGAGATTTCATATAATATTCTTCATTTTCTCAACACAATTCTTACATAGTAGAGTTGTTATCACTCTTCAGAGATGGCAGAAAAGAGACTCAGCTGTTAAGATATTCAGTATCTCATGTGGCACAAAGAAATAGAAAAACAAACTAGATCAGGTCTACAACGAGACATGTCTGAGGAATATGGGGTGGCCATAAAACACATTGATAGCTCCCACTTCCTCAGATTTTATTTCAAATTCTGTTTACCTGTGATTAGATTTCAGACTTCCCCCCTCACACGCACATGCTCTAGTGTCATGTTGTGGTGTCTTACATGTAGCTATAAGGCTGTAAACTATGCCAACAAGATTTAAAACACATGTCACACATGGTGGACAGGTTTTAGTGGAGCTTCCAGACAAAAAAGAAGATGAGAAGGAAATCTACTGGTAATCTATTTCTGAAAATTAGTTAAGGAAAACTTTATGGATCACCATAGAATGTTGTCCAATATCGTACTGGAAGATGAGCCCCATAGTTGGAAGGCCGCAACAATGGAATCAAACATACCGATGATCACGGAGATGATGAAGGACCAGCTAATGTTTAGTTCTTTTACACGTAAGGTTGCCAAGAATCAGAGCTAACAACAGAATAAAACAGAT